GAAGCCGCAGCCGGAGGCTCGTTCTAGACCCGCACGCTGTGAACGTTCCGCTGGACTCAGCCCCTGCTGTCTTCTTCATGCGGGTGCGGCTGGGGGAGACCGGGGAGATCTTCCGGGCGCCCAACTGCCGCATCGACATGACCGTGCGGGAGCTCAAGGAGGGGCTGGAGCTGGTGGCCGGCATCCCCTTCAACTTGCAGCGACTCCAGTACCTGGACCAAGGTGGGCCCCGCCCCTCCTGCAGAGGTGCTCCCTCAGCCCAGGGACACCCAGCCCACTTCTGAACCTGAAATCCCCAGGGAAACAGGCCTCCACGAGCACCCCAGGCGTCAAAGCAGACCCCAACCACAGAAACTCAGAAGGAAGAGCCCCAAGGCCCTGGACACAAGGGGTCTGCCCGGTCCCCACAGCAGGCTTGCGCAGACCCCAGAGCTTGTCCACAGCGGGACCCTCTACAAGCCCTGGGTGTCAGGCTGTGGCAGCCAACCCTGACCACAGCAAGACTCGGCTCGCGAAGCCCCGCGGGACCCCAGAAGCTCACACCCTCAAACTCCCCAGGTCTTCGTAAGTGACCCAAGTCCCAAAGCCAGCCATGCCCACATGAGACCGTGATCTGAAACAGCTGCTCTTGGGGGACTCTGAAGCCCAGGGCAACCTGCCTGTGCCAGCACCCCAAACTCATTGCAAACCTCAAGTCGTGCTGAACTCATGAACGTTAGACCCCCCAGTCCTCCAGCTACCCATGTCCACATGAGGATGCCAGAGCCTGAAACAAACCCTTAGGACCCCCAAACCCAGGACAAACCTGCCCCAAACGGAACCCCAAATCTCCAGGCTAAGCATGACTACCTCAGAACCCCAAATCCTCCAGCACCTGTGCCCACAAGAGGACATCGACTGAAAACAAATCCTGCCCATACAGCCCACAAGCCAGAACAAGTCCGGCCAAGTCTGAACCCCAATTCTCAGTTTTCACATGAACCCCATATGACCCTCAGAACCTAAACTCTTCTGTAAGCACGCCCATACAAGGATGCCAAAGCCCAGGGCAGACCTTGTCCACCTCGGGTCACATGTGAACTCTGCCCGCGTTTGAACCTCGGAACCTGACGCTGCCCCACGGCCACGACAGAACCCAAAGTCCCAGAGCAGACATGGTCAATTCCAAGCCTGCGATCTCCAGCCTGCACTTGTGCATCTGAACCCCAATCCAGCTACTTCTGTCTACCCAAGGGTGGCAGAGCCCATAAGGAGCCCGGCTCGCGGCTGGACCCCCACTGTCAAAGTCAATTCTGCCCACGTCTGAAACCCTGCCTGCCCCAGAATGCCTATCCAAGCAAAGTGTCCTCATTGGGGCTCCAAAGAATGAGGGAAACCCTGCTCATAGCAGCACCCCAAAGTTCAAGTCTGAACCCCAGTCTGCATGCCAGCCATGTCACATCAGCACCTCCAGGTCGAAGCCAGTGCCCATCCTGGAAGGGCGGTCAAGGTCCGAAACCAGCCTTACAGGAATCCCAAACTCAGAGCCAGCTGTGCTGTATTTAAACCTGAATCTTTCAACCAGTCCTACCCATGTAGACCCAAGCCTGTCTATGTCAGAACCCCAGATCTCAGAACGGATCCTATCACTAGGAAGACTCCCGTACCTCAGGGCAGAGCTTCCCGGTTCCTCACTCCCACTCGCTGCACTACTCAGAACTCTGAATCCCAGAACACGTCCTTCCCATGTAAGGGCTTCAAATCCCAGAACAGACCCTTCCCGTACCGGGACCCCCAGACAGACAGCAAAGCTTGCTTTCTTCGGAAGCCCTCTTCAGGACCCCACATCTGAAAACCAACCCTATCCGTGTTTGAACCCCGAATACCGGCACTAACCTATCCATTTCAGAACCCAGTACCCACAGCTCCCGTGGCTAAATCAGGGCCCCAAAGCCCCCTGTACAGACAGATCCTATGTGTCAGGTACCCAGTAGGGCCCTAGAGCCCGTCTCCCTCCTCCGGCCTCCTCTCCTCGACCTGAGAATGTGGCTTTTCCTATCCAGTTCCCTGGGTATTTAGGATATGAGAACAGGGTCAAAGCCCCTGGGCTCCATCATCTCCCCATTCAGTAGAAACCAAGGCAAAAACGCTTCAAGAAAATAAAGAGAAAAAAATCCTAGAGCTGAAGCACACAGAATCCGAACAGCCGGCATCGCAGCGACGGCAGTTGCGTGGCAGGGGCCGAGCAGTGATGGAGACGGCGACCTGAGAGCAGCCAGTCTCCGCCAGCTCCAGCGCCCAGACGCTGCCCCTCCTGGGCTCAGCTCCCTAAGCTGGAAAACGTTATCCCATTCGCTCTGGAATCCTCAGTGTCCTTCCGCTGGAGGCAGAAATGACTCCGGGAACCCGTAATGTAAAGCGAAGGCCAGAATCCCTTCCTCTGCTCTCTGGAAAATAGGTTAAGCATTTATCATGACATTTATTTTCCTATAGGAGTATTCAGAAGATCCTCGGGCATTTTTGAGGCTTTGTTTTGGAAAGCAATGTGCCTTGAGCCTAGTCTGTATTTAGCATGTTAAAAACGAGGTGAGTTATCGGAGGGCTTTAGTAAGAGTTCCCAAATAAGTAATTTGAAAATTACAGATCCCCAGCTACACATGTTCGGCACCCCTCCGTTCTTCTATTTTCTGATGAGCTCTACTCAGCCATAACTTCGAGGAAGCTAAGAGGGGGCCCTGCTGATGTCATGAGGCCGTCACTCGGCAGACACTTCGCACTTCGCAGCTGCTGGAAACCCTACACCCCCTGCACCTCGGCCCTTGCTGTGGGTGGCCCGCCAGAAAGCTCAAAGGTTCTACCTGGTTGTTAGATGACACCTGGCCTACTGCATATAAGTAATCCTCTGTGTCTCTTCCACCCACTCCGAGGCTGCCGGGGGCAGGAGGGAGGCCCTGAGTTCATGTGGCCAAAACCTGAGAGACACATCTCGGGGGTGAGCAAGCACACAGATGAGGGTGGCCCTGCCCTGCTGCTGCCAGTGTGAGCCTGCGTTTAGCTGGTGCCAATTAGTCTTCGAGCCCGCCACAGCGGCTGCCTGTTACAGGAGGGTGTGCTCTGAGGTCTGCGAGAGCCGTTCGGGTCGTGGGGTTTGCACTCTCACACGGGACAGCCCCTCCCGTCCCCGGTCCAAGTCTCTGTGCTTTGGAGGAAAGCCTTGCTGTAGGCGGGATGTTGGGTTGTTGCAGCGCTAGCCAGCGGCACCAACCGTAACCAGACACGGCGTTGTAGCCCAATGTGTGTAACTCGCACAGCCGTGCTTGGCCGTCTGTGATGTGTAACTTCCAGCTTGGGTCGTTTCCGTAGGGTTGGCCTCAGAGTTGCTGTGGAGTTTAGTGACTCATGTAACCTTTTGCAATAAGACAAGTTGTGATTATAGAATTTTATAAATGGTTGCCGTTGGATGTTTGGTTTAATTCCTATTTGAGCTGAACCAAATTAATCTTCTAAAAAGCATCTATGACGACAGTCAGACTCCTGCAGAGTCACCAAAAGGACTTGTGTTCGAGGTGCTGAGATGATCTTTGTGGTACCCACGGTCAGGTCGTTTAATCAACGTGTGGTTTCCCTCTAATACCCAATCTCCTCTGCAAACATTGTCCACAGGAGTCCTGATGGACGACACGACCCTGAGGTTCCATGACGTGGTTCCCGGCGGCGTCATCTCACTGTGTATCTGGCATTATGGTGGCTGGACAGAGCTGGTGCTGGCAGCTATGGAAGGGGACCCCAGCAAGGTGTTCTCACGCGTCTCTAAAAGGGTGTCATACTTAGCAAACAGCCGTAAATCGGGGTCAGAGGGTGGTGAGTCTTGCTCGTGGGTGTTTAAGCGGAAGTTTCAGAGTAGCAGAGATCGTGAGGGGCCAGCCCTAATCACCAAATACCGCAGTGAGTGTTTGCACTCGTGCTTCGGGTTTCCGACTCAACTGGGCCGGCTTACGGTTCATAACCCACTCACCACCGCACCCCACAGGAGTCAAGGCAGCCCATTGTCCATCCACATGGGCTTTCATAAAGTTGCGAATCCAAGTTCACACTGTGAGCGGGACTCTGAATAACTCGGCAACACTCCGCCAGCACTCTGGCCTTCCCTGTGGTTCTGCAGTGGTGGCAAAACACCCGGGGCTTGCCCAGACCGGGGAGCCAGCATCCCCCAGACACGTGCCAGGTGGCTGTGGTTTGCAGGCCTTGTGCTGGGCCCACAGCTGGGCACTGAGTGGGCAGAGGGGGAGGAGGGGAGGAGGGCACCTTGGTGTCCTGGCCCTTGCTCTGGTGCCTTCCCCCGACATCCGGGGTCAGAACTGCTGTCCCCCTCTCTGGGGTGCTCCCATTCTGCCAGGCCAGAGTTCCTGTCTGTGGGTCCCGTAGCCTTCCTCCATGCCCAGAGGCTTAATCTACTGCACCAGGAGTGCACTCGGGGCCGCTCATCCCTGAGTAAGTTCAGGGCA